TTGTCCAAAGACGCCACATTTTGAACAGATAACAAAAATTATTATCGACGGTGATAATCATCCCCACATTCCCCGATTTCGATTCGTCACCGTAACATGAATTCAAATTCAATTTTAGCCAATCATAAAACTCGGTTAGTAAAATTATCCAATACGAACCGCCAAATCTGTAGTCCACGTGGGCTAGTTCGCTGCCGGTTCATTTTTATGTATTGGTTTTTTTGTCCGTTGAGACTGCCGCCAACTTTAAATGTGCACAATATCGTTTACTTTGCCTATACCTATTTTCCAAGTAAGAACACACCAACTATGAAGCAATGCCTCTTATACCACAATAACTCAAAGTATATAATGAGATACACAGTCAAAGACCTTTGTCAGGTCTCATAATGTCAGAGAAGTATGTTTTCCCTGATCAATGCCTTCGACTCTATTTGTTACCAGTTGGTAAGCAGTTGGTGGTGGATTTATTTTTTACGAAATTCATATTGTGACTCACAAAAATAAAAACAACTTCCAAAATAAGACTAACGGCGGTTTTCAATAACGATTTCGATTATTTTTCCGACAATAACAATTATTTTCATCGGACGTTAGTTATTTGATGTGGATCTGCAGCCCTTCTTGAAAAAATGTACCACCCTTGAAATTTCGTAAATACTTGGGAATATTCCAGTTGAAAAAAAAAGAATAATTAATGATGTTCAACGATTATATTAGCAACTGATTTCAACATTTGACCATTCCAATCGTAGACATCAGCAGAATTTGAGTTCTTCAATGCAGATTTTCCCGAACTTCAATGAACAATTGGATATTTGAACAACACTTCATTGTGAAATTTTCATTGAGCAGTTTTACTAAAACGCAACACGTGTTTCGCTCTACAATAGCTTATTCAGGCATACTCAGCCTTTTTTACTTAGTATAGACACATCTGAAGAAGTCGTTGTATAGCGAAACACTTGTTGCGTTTTTGTACAAAATGTGACAAAATGTCACCATGAAGTGTTTCTTGAATTCGTTATAGATTTCATCAAGTATCGGTCGATACTAAAATACCAAAACCAGAAAAAACCATTGCACAAAGATGCCATACTTACCTAGGACCTAAATAATATAACACATTGGACAATGAGATGAAAAAAAGTATGTCCCTAAAAATATTTAAAAGTCATACAAAAATGGTTACTTAGTATACCTCGGGAAAACTTACACCGATTTATCGATACCAAAAATAATTATTACATCTCCCATCATAGTTTTGAAATGAAAACTATGATGGGAGATGCTGTGAACAAAAATATATTGAAAATAAAAGAAAAAAAAATGTGTTTTTCTAAGAAGCTACCTCAAATTGTTTGAATGAATTTTAGTTCGTAGACCTTCTACATCCTTCACGGTTTTTCTTATTCACGGTTTTTCTTATCTGCAACTACATCTATAACTATAACTCACCGAATCATCCCTCAAAC